GTTAACTATGCAGAAGAAAAGCGCGCCCATCACGTGCAAAAATAATTTACTCAAACCCTGCACGTGACATTGACCTTGACATTGACGTTGATATTGACCAATCATTCTGACCAATCAGAACGTCTGGTTTGTTACTTTCTTTGCACTGAATCGACCCTCTTCTGCACCGAATTTACTCTCTTCTGCACTGAATTACCTGAAAACTGCATTTATCTTAACCAGTCAGAACTGAGAAATTTTTTCATGTAACTCATCCTCGGAGACCCAGTGGCTGTGAGTCGATTACCAGCTGCCTAGTTTCCAAGACCGGCTGTGTAATGTTCTCAAACTTTTGCAATTACTCATAGAAGTCCCTTATTTTGCAGATTGTTTTAAAAATGTACATCGTATGATAAAACGCTTATTGAATTGGGTTTTCACATGATTTGATGAATTACCAAACCTTGTGTCTATGTTTATAAACTGCCTTACCCTATGGCTTTGGCTGGCAACTCAGACCTCGGTTTTGATAAATCATGATATCATACGCAACCTCATCCAGTAATTTATTATAGTAAGGATATACACCTTTGCTATACAGTCACGTTGAAAGTGCCTTTCTTGTGCACTGACAGGCTAAATCAGAATTGATTGCCAAGTACCATTCACCTCTGAACAGTCAAGAGACAGAATTGCATGTCAATTGGGTCACTCCTGACCATTTTTTGGTATTATAACTGATGGAAATAAACTAAATTTTTGTTTTGGTGTGGTTTCTACTAATTAAAAACAATCTTTTACTCCAGTGTAAGTAACATTGGCGGGCATTATAATACCTCATCCCTTTGCAGATTGGTTCATATCCTCCACTATTAACTCTACTTTGGTGAATAATTATCAATAATTATGTTACTTATCATTAATATAATTAACTCTTGAGGGAACTCTGATGGACAGAGATGAAAGCCAAAAGAACAAGGCCGGGTTGTTCAAAAGAGCGTTAAGAAAACCCAGGGTTAGTGTGAAATTTGATCACAGATCCGAGTGCTTTAATATAACTTGATGACTGAATGCTTTAAAAAGAAGTGGGAAAATTATCCTAAAACATCTTTTGAATAGAGAAATGTAGAAACCTGGATTAAAACTTAATCCTGGGTTAGCACTAATCACTCTTTGAACACCTGAGCCCAGAATGTTATTCATTCGATGGTTCTATAATTATATGCAGTGTGTACATATACTGTTCTGCATTTTTTAAAACACCCTCATCCGTAGTTGTCATCCAAAATGCAACAGTGCATGACTTAAAGAAGGCAATAAAAAGACACATTTCACTTAAAATTTCCAGGGAAGGAGGCCTAAATATTGTCTCCTGGTAAGTGGATTTAAGAAATTTAATCATGTTAATTTTACCCGGTCACGTACTATTTTCTAAAGGCAGGCTGTTTTCCTTTAACATTGATATCTCCTTCCAATGCTAGCTTTCAGTCCTCTGTACACTGCCCACAAAAATAAACATTGAGGTAAAATATTTAACCAATTTCAAGATAGTTTAGAATTCAGTCTAATTAAAGAAAGGTTAAATTTTGTCTAAAAAAAACCGGCCCTATTATTCTACATAGTTTGATATTTCTGATTGATTTAATCAGATAGCCATTATACACTGTACTTTCAAGATCAAAATATCAGTCTACCACTTTGTGTGTGTTATACATTGTTATGTTATTTTTACACTCTGTAGTCTTGAAAATTTGGTATTGAATCAGACAGCATACTCTAATTATCATTTCATCTCATTAGCTTTGTTAACTTGAAAACTTGTTGAATTTTATAGTAGAACACTCACGCTTGTGGCGAAGGGTTATAAAATAAATATTAACTTGACCTGTTCAACTAATATGCAAAGCTAAAACATCTGAGTATAGAGATACAGAAATTTAAATTCCTGCAGCATGGATACCTATTATCAAAAAGCATCTGGTCAGTATGCAAATGACTGGTGACAACTTAGCTGTTACCACAATTTCAGTTTAAGAGCCAAACTAGCAGGTTGGCTATTGGAAACTGAAAACCACAAGCCAAAACCAAATTTCCACTAGTCTGTGGCTATAGTTGCGGCTACATGTACAGTTAGTGTTAAGTCCTGTAATTACAAGACTTTTGTACTGCTAGTCACTTGAAATCTTCTGTTTGTTTTATATTGAAGCGGGGATGAGCCTCATTTAATGGTGAGCCATAAAGCTTGTAATTCTTCTCTCCACTCGTTTTATCTGTTAGACTAATAACTTATTATTAAAAACTGGATCATTGGATAGTACAATTCAAGACTTTTTATTGGCTTAGCCATTATGGTATATGAGCCAAGATACCGTAATCTAATATCTTTACATTGCAACATCCGGTTTCTTCTTAGAAAATAAACTCGAGAAGATTTGTCTAACATTTTCGGGGCATTTTTTGTAATAAAACAATTATTATCCATAGGTATGCAGACTGGTATGGTAGATAATGATGGTGGTATAGTCTGGGATGACCCACGCCCTAACAAAGACACAAGCAGTTTATCTTTTGATGTAGGTTTGAGTTTATCACTTATTATATAAGGCAAGAGATTTCGGAGATTTGATTGGTTGACAGCAATTCACCATTACAGTGTAATTGTGGTATAATGGCAAAAATGGATGGTATAACAAGGTTACGAATGACAACACGGTGAGGAAAGATTGTTATGAACGCTGACACCTGTGTCTGTCTTTCCAATTGCAACAAAATAAAGGTCTCTTGTATGTGCATTACCAATTTTTTCTTGACTTCTCTTATAAACAAATAATAGCCTGACTTATGGGTGGTATTTGTCAATAATACTGGCCCATTTAATTAATATTAATTTTCAAAATTTTCTAAATATCATGCACTCACCTATTCATAGTATGCCGTATTTTGGACAATTTTGGAAGATCACTTGAAAGTGGTAATAATGCAAAATGCCATGGTAACCACAAATCATGCTATTACCTACTATATCACCTAGTACAGCTAAATTATAGATACTTACCTGACTGTGTTTGGATGTGTTGATTTGTAGCAAGTTCTTCCCTCAACCTCTGTATTCATGGAACCTCGTAATGATGTTTATATACATGCTAAGCTAAGTAATATAATTAAATTTATAACACTAATAAAATAAATTTCATTCCTTGTAATAGATGAAACTTATTAAAATTAACCCTTACCAAAGAAAAAGTATGGGAGTGATAAGGCAAAACATGGGCCATATAATGACCCATATCTGGGAATGGTATGGGAAGAAAAAGTATGGGAGTGATATGGCAAAACAGGGGCCATATAATGACCCATATCTGGGAATGGTATGAGAAGATTGGGTGAAGATATGGAACTGTTATGGGACTCAACATAGTGATTCCAAGGACAGCTCAAGCCAGCTTGTGTGTTCTAGTGAGTATGCAACTCAGGTGTAACTTGTAACACTCTAATAAATTTATTTGAAATAATTAGGTTGAAATAAGACCAGAATTTACTTCTGAAAAAGCTGAGGCAGGTGAATGGTTTGGCAGTGGGGTCTCCAGTTTCCAAAGAACTTGATGTAGACTATTATTACCAAAAGGGTATTATAATATATTACATCTTCAAATTTTAGCATTGTTGTTGTTTTTTTTTTATTATTTCTTAGGAAGAAGCCCTGAAAAAATTTCACATCACAGATGATCCCAGCAATTATTACCTTGCTAGACCTGTTGATGAAGGTGAGATAACAAGGACTCTCAAGTTCAAAATCTCCATTCTCTTCACTGTCTGCTTTATATTCTTTTAGTTATAACTTTATCCTTGAGAAACTGCCCTGAAATCTGCGTCACTTTTACATGTTTTTCCCTCTCCTCACCTTTCTGCTGGTCATCATATCACTTTTTCTAAGGAGAAATTAATTTTTGATCACTCTCATGAGCAAAAAGGTTGATTTCTTTTAAAATTGTGATTAAAATAATCCATGTTATTAACCCTTTACACCCCATCACCCATACATCAGTATGCATATTCTCCGTACTGTTCTCTATACATTT